ACAGTTCTGAAACAAGAATTACTAAAGGCATAAAGGAATAAAAACTAATATGAAAGAATTGAAAAATTGAAGACAATATGATACATCAGATCCATAAATTAGAAAGGAAAGAGGGTTATGGATTTAGGCCTAACAGTGAACCTCTACAGAAACCTTATCAGTACTGCATAAGTTTACAACCTTACAGCAACAATTTAGATTTTCTAGTATTATAGCGGCAAGAACTTTGGTAGTCTTAGTCTAGGATCACATTAGAAATTCAATCCATAGATCCATTTTCTTTTCTGCTGTTAAATAATATGTACCATGTCTTAACAGCTAAATCTAAAATTTTTCCCCAAACAGGATGACAATAATATCAAAGTAAGAACAAACAATCAGTTCCAAGTGATCGATGTTATTCAAATCTCTTGCAACTAAGAACTAAAGTAAATTTTGGTTTGAAATTCCATCAGACTTTGTTTTTTGTTTAAAAATTCTATCTAACTTTGAAATTGAGTCTTTAAATCATTAAATTAAAAATTGAAGAAATTTGTTCTGTTTAAGATATAAGTCATATATTTGCTACTAACACGTTTCTTCACATTATTCATAGCTGCATTTACTGACCCAAATCATGGTACAAGGCTCTGAGGATGCCGGGTGTGGGTTAACAATCAACTTGCACCCGAAGGAACGAGATACTGAGGCAGCAGAGGTTCTGTCATGTTTGGATTATAACCATGGTTTTGCCAAACATATTATTTGTAGATAAAACTTAATTTACATACTACAAACTTGGATTTTCGGGTGATTCTAAACATGCTATGAGACTTGGAAGTGGACTTCAGGTTTGTATGAGTTGTGGTATATTTGGTGTCCAATAGGGACTTATTGATATTGACTACGCGTTAATACAGTTTGATTATCGTTTTTTTCCTCACATCACTAATCAATGATAAGTTAACAGTTAATTAAATTAAAAAAAATGAGATAGAGTATAGTTTATCACAAAATTCAATTTTTGTTATCATTTTAATAGACCTCAAAATAATTTAGTTAGTTTACTTTATTAAGTATTAATTTTTGGTCCCAACTATACGCTTCTTATATTTTTTTTGGGTTTTAAATACACCCTTAATGGATAAATAATAGCAAAAAGAATATTGGGCCAATTACTTCAAACCCAATTACACCATAAATGCTCTACTTTAGTATATCCCTTCCCAGTTGTTAACTTTACAAATTGAGAGAAATTGATAGAATTTGGCAAACCGATTCATCAGATCTTTACACTGTGATGGTCAAAAAGGAAACAAAAGAATTTGTGAGCACAACATGAAGTTAACTTTAGTTTTTCAAGAAAAGGGGAATGGAAAAAGGAACGCAAGTGGCACATGAAAAATCAAACTAATTTTTTCTTACGAGGCAAGCCGATATATTTAGTTAGGTCAATCACTCAATCTTATCCGCACAACACATACTTGGCATCAAAATTTGGAAGATACAGAGCAAATAGAATATCAAAGTTCAGCTATGGACCCTCCCTCCGTGCCTCACATGATGCCCACTAACATCTATATCTGTACCTATTAAATGAGCGGGCCACATTATAGATGGGACATAACTAAAATTAACAGGCAATTAAATCATCCAAACAGTTTAAACTACCTGTCTTCTTTTACCAAATCTCATAGGGTTGGCTATTAATTCATTAGAAAATTCATAGCTTAACATGATATACAAATCATATCAATCACAAAAGCTTGCTTCCTCGAAAAGATTAGGACAAAGCTCTTTCTTGGATGTCATTATCTTACTTTTGAAATCATTTTTTTATTTTTTTTACTTGAAATCCCAATCTTCACATTAGGTATACAAAAAAAAGCAAAACTACACCTTCCAATAGCAATTTGTTAACATTTGATAATGAAATTTTAGGTTTTTGTGAGGGTATCTTGCTCATTCATAAAATAAGCTATTATAATTTTTAAATGTTGAGCGATTAGGAAAGTATAATACCATCTCTTATTTATAGATGTTAGGTGTTTTTCTGTGGTACATAGGTACTACAATTATGATTTGAGCTGTGACATTAAAATTTTGCATTGATCACGTGTATGAGTCGTTACAGTGACAATATCTTTATAGACAATACCTACAATCATCACCCCCATTACCTCAAAAACAGAAATTACTTGTGGAGCTTCAGCCCCAAAGTGAGTGTGTGTACTCTAGAGATAATGTTTACGCCTTACCATCATTGCCTCAAACACCCTACCATATGGTAATGGATAGAAGAAAAGTGGGTGTGTATATTTGAATTTAGTTCAATGTATATTGTGTGAAAGGTGACCAAAACGGTGGAATTACATGTATGAAAAGAAAGAAAATGAAACGGATAAAGCATTTGGAAGAGTAGCTCTTGGTGATATGGCTAGTAGACAAATCACCTTGGCCTCAGTCAAAGCACTTTCACAAACCTAAAAGCCATTACACTTCACTTTCCAAGGAAAACCCCAACCCACATGATCTTGCTTGGGGATATTGAAAGATCACAAACTCCTATCAAAAGAATATCTCCTCTCCTATGTACCCCATTTCCCAGCTCTCATAGTTCCAATCAAACACATTCTCTTCTCTCACTCACATTGACTGGCCCTACGTCACCAGCATTCTCAACTAAACTTTGGTGTTGATATTCATTCTTGGGTCGACACGTGTCAAGTTTTTATTGATACACGCAGGCCTTGTCATTGTATAATAAAAAGAGGTCCTAAGTTTTTAATTGCTAAGTTGTCCCATCATTCAATATACCGTGAGTGTCCCAATCTTTCAAATTTCAATCTCAACCTAATATTATTGAACACGCTAAAGGGAAGAGACAGTGTTAGCTCAGGGGATGAGGGTAGGGTCCCTAAATAATGGATCAAAAGCCAAATTACAGGGTGTTGTGCAATTATTCACACCATGAATTTCATACCCAAGCTAGCACCGAAAATATTCCTCCCATCTATTCAAAAGCAAAAAAAGAAAACAAATTTTTAAAAACAGGAGAAAAAAGCTTTAAAATTTTAAAAAAGATTATGTAGTTACCACTTATCCAGCTGCTTTATTTATTTATTTTTTAGATAAACTACTTGTATTTTTCAAGAAAGGTAATTTTGTTCGAGCCCAGCCAGAAACATCTACATTATGGTGAGATTAGCTCTTTCAAAGAGAACTTTTTAAATTTACAAGGACTTGAACCTAAGACCTTGCTTAAATAGAATCAAACATGTATCACTTGAACCAAACTAGCTGTTTTATTTATTAAATTAGATTAGAGTCACATAATTTTAATTATACACTCCTTTAAAAAATTATATCAGTCATACCTGATATTTTTTCAAAATTTTTAATTTAAATCCATTTAATTCAATCAAATTGAATCAAAGTATGAAGCTATGGATCTGTTTCTCCCTCGGAGTAAAATATGTTGACTTGGGACGAAAGAGACAATGACCTGTATCAAAACTATGAGGTGTCACTATATTAGCCTCAGTCTGGTGTGAAGGAGGGAGGAGTGTAGATGGTTACGATTATGGTTGGGTAGAGAATTCTGCGGAGTAACACCAATGCGATGAATAGTAAGAGAGCTAAACTCCCTTTATACTAGGGGTGGTAATTTCTGACACGACCCGCTAATCCGACCTAGACCCGACACAAAATTTTTGTATTTGGATCAACTCGTTTACTGTTCGGGTCGTGTTCGGGTTGAAGAAAAATGACACGAAAAAATTTGTGTCGGGTTCAGGTCAACCCGTTAACCCGCTTTGACCCGCAAATAGTTTTTGTATAAGGTTATTATAATCATTTTAGTGAGTGGTATAAAAAAAATAACATACACTTAGGGTTCAAACAACCCTTTTCACTCACCAGTGACTTTATTGGATGTATATGTTTTTATTGAATGTAAAATCAGTGCCTAAATACAGGTTTTGAATATGAGCATTCTAAAACTCGTGTCAGATCGGATCGGGTCGAGTCGTGTTAACATATATAATAATGGGTCATGGTTACATTATAAGTTTATTCGTGTCGTGTCGTGTCAACCCGTAAAATAAGCGGGTCGTGTTCAGGTTGAGAATTTTGACACGAATAATTAATCGGGTCATGTTCGAGTTGAGATTTTTCGTGTTGTGTGAAATTCGAATCGAGTCGAGTCGAGTTGACACGAATTGCCACCCCTACTTTATATAGGAGGTTGGAGATTTTTATTAAGAGTGCAAAAAGTGATGTCATAAATGTTTTTAGCTCTATAAGCTCTACTAATTATGAGACTGCGTGATTATAATATGTAAAGAGTCATGTGTACGTAGAAAGTGTGAGGGGACACATGTATAAAAATATCATGCCCTCCATGTGCCAAGTAAAGGTAATCCTACCATATTTGGGCTAGCCGAACAAAGGCATCCCACGGACCGGAACATCAATCAAACATATTATTTTTGAAAAAAAGAAGTATCATGTTGCAGGAAAGTGTTTAGGTTATGTTATAGAGATAGAAATTGTATGATCCATACTTGTTTTCAAAAATAAAAAAGTGTGGGTCCCACAATCTCTATCTCTATAACATAACATAAACACTTTCTTACAACATTATACTTTTATTTTCCATTATTTCTACTACTTTTAAAAATATGTTTTCAATTTATACATTTTTTTATATCTTAATTATTATTTTAAAAAAAATCTGGGCATGACAAAACTAATTAATTACTAGTCCATTTAAGAGTTGTAACAATATCGTAATTATAGAGGTTAAGAATTTAATATTTTCCTTTTAAAAGAATGCATCATTTTGATGCACAATTAATTCCTTAATGTGACTGATTCCCACTCTTAATGAAAGATTAGCTAAAACAGTGAGTCTCACATCACTCTTTCTCTTTTCCCACCATATATTTACTCTTTGTACTATTCTCTCCCAGTGAGAAGAACTGAGACACCAATGCAAAAAAGAGGGAGGGGATCAGAAGAAGCCATGAAAAACAGCATAAGGTGTTGCATCTCTTGCATCCTCCCATGTGGGGCTTTGGACGTAATCCGCATAGTACACTCCAATGGCAGAGTAGAAGAAATCAGTGGCACTATGAAGGCCAGTGATATCATGAAGGCAAATCCAAAGCATGTCCTCAAGAAGCCATGCTCCGATGAAGATGGTGGAAGTGGTGGAGTCCCCAAGATCGTGATCGTGCCACCTGATGCAGAGCTCCAACGTGGGAAGATTTACTTCCTCATGCCGCTCCCTCCTCCTCCTCCATCTATGGAGAAGAACCAGCAGAGAAAGAAGAAGAGGAAGGAACACAGCGAGAGAAGGAACAGCAACAGCAACAGCAACAACATTTCTATGGCTAGCTTGATTGTCTCTGATCGTTACTTGACTGAAATACTCTCCGAGAAGGTGTCAACACAAAGAGACAGACGAAGAGGGCGTGTTGCTGTGTGGAGGCCTCACTTGGAAAGCATTTCAGAGTCACCATGTGATCTCTAACTCTTGTTCTTCTACAAGGGTCCTGTCATGTCCACATAATCCTTATATTATAGGGTTCTAAAGAGATTTCCATCTCCATTTTTTTGAAATATATAGAAAATAAACTTCTTTTTTGTTCTTTTCCCCCCCTTTTATATTCTACTTCTTCTTCCTCTGCTTAGGCTTTGTGTACGTAGGACTGTCAATATATGAGGTTTGTTAAAGGGTTGGTGACTTGAAATCATACTATAACATAATTGGGTCCATTTTAATTGCCAAATTTTTTAGCTTTCATGATCGTTTTGAGGGTGTGTTCACTGTTCAGTAAGTGAGGCATAAATTTGATCAAAGGGTTTCATGATCACAGTTCAGTTTGTATGAGTCTCAACTTGTTTTGCTTTTGATTGTTGAAGCTCAGAATTGGGAAGTGTACGCGGAAAAGATAAACTATGATTGAAATACAGAGAGAATGATTCAAAATCTACTGTGTGAGTTTATGGGGCATATGTAATTCTGTATTGGATCATAATGGAAGCTGATTACGACATGATAGATGTTATGCTTTTGCTAGCACTATAATATTTTATTTACTATTATTCCTATTGTTTCACAGAGGAAAGTGACAGAGTTGTTCGTCGGTGTCAGTCATTCTTTTAACGAGAGATCATGACATAGTACTGCTATCACTTTCTATACACGTACTGAGTCATCATCATAACAAAATTAAATTCAAGTTGATAGCTTTTTCTTTTTTTTTTTTTCAATGAAGAGGGGAAAAAAGAAAAAATCCTTTGGCACCCCCAAATGGGAAGGACATATTCATCGGTGTCTATGTTGTACTTCCCCCACAAATGAAAGGAAAATAAAAAGTAAAAGGAAAGCTAAGGTTGGATCAAGAAAAAGCCAATGGGATAACTTTGAGGTAAAAGGAATTGGAAGTCCCCACAATGCTTTCCCAACATATTCTAATAATGCATTGCAAGTTTGCACAAATGAGTGTGATATGGCTTTAAGCATTTTGTTCTTTTGGGTATGAATATGATTATGAGCTCGTTCTGCTAGTGCCTTTGGCATCTTGTAAAGGTGATTAACACAGTAGAGTTTGACCTCTGCGATTGGTTGGATTGTAGATCACTGAGCTTTGAGCCTCGAGCAAAGCTCCCGTTCTGTTCTGGTTCTGATTCTGATTTATGATTCTCATTTCTGATCCAATAGCATATATGGGGTTTTTATTTGAATGTCACACCACACCATCTTTGGCCAACAAAATGTTGACACACTACTTAATGTATGAAGGAGTGAATCCCTGCAATGTCATCTAGCCCAATTCATCAAGAGATGCTAGTATGGGTCTAGTTTGCATTAATTATGCAAACTAACTTATTAATTAATCGACCTATCATAAGTTTAAATATAGGAAAAATATACTCTTATGTTATAGTAGAATGTTTTTCTCTTTTATACATATATCGATTTCTGTGTTATTTTTTTTTCTCTTTTTTTATGAGTGGGTGAATTTCATACATGATTATCTTTATAGCATCAGAGAGCTTCTCTTTTATTGCATGAAATTAATAAAACCCCTAAATAGTAAATACAACACAAAAACTGCGCAAGTAGGCAGCTCAATTGGTTGCCGTTGGACTGAGCAAGGTAAGGACAAAAATCACGATTCAAGTCCCGTCAAATGTCACATTGGAGAGAGGAAAGAAATACCGCAATCTCATACTATGATCCCAAACTCCGGATTAGTTTCATAGATGATTCAAAGAGTCAAACTACTGAAAATACCGAAAAGATTTAATTCAACTCAAAGATCCAAAAAAATATAACAAAAACTTAAAAATAGTTATTTATAAAATCATATAAATGTAAATTATATGTTGTAAGGAATACAATAATTTTTCCTATTCATCTCATGGCATGTCAGTGTTATCAGTGGTTCAGGTGAACGCATTAATCTGCTTGTCTGAATTCTCTCTCTCTACAAATTTCAGAACCAGAAAATTATTACTAAAATTGCATATAGATTGAGTATGGGACTATTATCGTGCTCTTGCTTATATGGAAATAAATTGACATGGGAACAGATAAATCACAACTTTGCTATGATTCATTATGGGTCTCTTTGGTATCATGTACGGAAAGAGAAGAGAAGAAAATGAAAATAAATATATAAAAATAAATAAAAAAACATGTAAATATATAATGAAACCACATAATTCTTTTCATTTTCCGCCCTTTCTTTTCCAAGTGAAGTTATCGTAGTACGGGACTTCAAAAAATTAGGTGGAATTGAGGTGAGAGAAAAAAAAAAAGTTGAGGAGATAGGAGAGAAAAATAAATAAATAAATCAATACATATGTCAATTTTTGAATGAAAGGACTGCGGTACTCCTGCAATATATTAAAAAATTTCTCCTTTTCCCCCTAAGAGAGAAGATTGAAAATGATAGGACTCACCAAAATGTTATATCACATAATACTTTTCTTTTCGTACAATACATATGACAAGAAAAGAAAAGAGTGCAATTACTTCTTCCTCTTTTTTTATTTTCTAATTAAATACCTCGTACCAAACAAACCCTAAAAAGCTACACCATAAACATTGTCATTTTGTCACTCTTAATTTATTCGTAGAATTATATTTTTTATATAATTTATTTTGGAGAGCATTAATTGAAATTAACTCAAGGATATTAATCATGGATTCATTGGATTGGACCTCGCTTATGCCTTATCCTAAAATTTACTTAAAATTAGAGTCCTGTAGGAATATATATACAGTAGTAATTATCAGTAGTAGTAATGCATGTTCTATGTTTGCTTAAAAAAAAAAAAAGACAAGCAGGGGTGTATTAAAATGGGATTTCAAAAGATTTTAATGAATTATTTTTGACAAAAAATTCATTGGTATTAAATTAGAATTTTAAAGAATTGAAAAAAAGTCACGCGGTATTCGATTAGGATTTTAAAAAATTATTTTAGAGTCCGACCAAATCTATTGGTATTCAATCAGGATTTTAAACAAAGAAAAAATAATCTGACGATTTTAACGGATTTTCTATTAGTGTGAATTTCGTTAGACTTTTTAGCGAGAAATATAAATAAGATGTCTCTCAATCTCTCACCCCAATCCTTAGGATTTCTTAAGATTTATTTCTCTATTGCAGTGTCTTCTTCTTACTTTGGCTCGCTCGAAACCAGGTTTCACCATAGGAGCTAGGGGTGTTCATCAACCGATCCAAACCGATTTAAGACCGAACCGAAAAACTAATAACCAAATAAACCAAAAATCGATAAAAAAATCGCAAATTTTAATTGGATTAGATTGGTTTTCAGATTGGTTGATGAAAATCGATCCAATCCAAACCGATCCAATGTATTAATTCTCCTCTACCTACTTGGGTATTTCCCCAATCATAGCCCAAAAATTTTTAAACCCAAGATCCATTAACTCATCAACTAAACCAAAAAAAAAAACTAGTCACAATTTATTAACAAAATTTTATCAGCGTAAAGCTTCATATCTCATTACCAAAAAAATATATATATTATCGTGTATTGATGCTTTTGTATTACAATTTTTTTTTTTACAAAGTCAATATCTACAAAAGATGTTATTTGCACAATAATCATTAAACAAATTTTAGGATATTCAAAAAACCGAAAATCGATCCAATCCAAACCGACAAAAATTGGATTGGATCGGATCGTATTTGAAAAAATCCAAACCGAATGGAAGATTACATGATCAAACCGAAGGAATTGGATCCGATGATTTTTGCTTTCAAGACTGATCCAATTCAGACCGCAAACACCCATAATAGGAGCTTCGTTAAAGCTAAAAACAACAAATTTTTGAGCGATTTTCATTACCAAACAACCCAGAAACAACAAACCAACAAGATTCTATTATAATCCTTATCAAAATAACAGGTTTTTAAGAGCTTTTGGAAGTTTAAAAAATAATTTTTCTTGGCACAAATATGTGTGATTTTTGTATTAAAAATAACAAAAAACAATGGAAAAACAACAGAGGAACTAAAACCCTCAAACCAATTTTTGTTTTACATCAATGAAATAATACCAATTTAAAGAAAGATTAAAACTTTCATAATATGAATTCATATATTTTGTAACAATACATTCATGAATGAAATTCCTTCACTATAGAAAATGTAACATCCTGGGCGCTGACGAGGGCGGAGAGTGATCGCCGGTGCGAAAGGGCATGGACAAGGAGCGGCTCCTAGCAGGCTTTCAGCAACGGGGTACATGAATGAATCAAATCAACACCCGAAAGAGAGGGATTCCAGAGATTGTGCTGGCATGTGACTGTACAGTTGGGAATAGCTTATAAGAATTAATTGATACTATATATACTAACAAGATGCATATACTTTTCGGTAGCTCGAAAAGGAAGAACTTCATAGTTAAGGGTGCTTGACTTGGGGCAATTCTGGGATGGGTGTCCTATTGGGAAGTTTTCTCGAGAAGTGAGCGAGTGAGGACAAAGCACAATGAAAAATCTCGTATTACTGTGTGGGGACAGTCGTTGATCCTTACAAGTTGCCATGCGTTAGTGAAAACGATTTCAAACAATTTTTATGTCAATAGATAACTAAGGACTTGTTTTTCAAAAGCTCTAAAACAATTTAAGGTTTCAATATTTTGATTGAAAATAATTTGATAAATTTTCTAAACTTTTATGTAATAAAACCCATAAATTCAAATTCAAAATTTTCTTGAAATACTCAACGAAAACATGCATATGATATATGGTTAGAAAACTCTGATCACGTAGAACAAAAACCCCAAAGTTTCCAAGATCAATTGCAAAAAATTTCAAACGAAATTTTATCATGAACTTTTGGTTCTATATGCAAATTTAGAAATATTTTAATAAATAAAGAATGTGGGTCTTATAATCATATATGCTTTGCTCTGATACCAAATAAAAAAAATAATTTTCAACTCATTTGTCAAACCCAAGAGCAGAAATAAAAAAAATGCTAATGCTTGGAGGACTATTATAGCCTATGCAACATTGATACTGACACGAGACACGTGACACGACACGACACGACA